ATGTGCCGTATTAATAACACGCAATTGCTTGCGTGGAGAGGTGTTATCAGTACCATTCGCTTATCACTTAGTGCCATACGCACGTACTTTATGAGATAATCGGTGCGGCGAGGTTTCTCGGCTCCAACACTGCACTCCTGAAGGGGGTCCGGCACGAGGTGGCCGTGAACGGCTGTGCAGTGCACTTTTGTTGTCTGTTAAAATCTTATGACGCTATTGTCATGGGGTCGTGACAGGAATGAAGAGAGCAGACTCTACGTTGAAGAAGAAACTTTATTCGGGCCGAACTTGTGGCCACACTAAAGGAAATTTGAACACTGGCACTGATAGCAGCGAACAGAGCGTCGGCCGTCGATCAACTGACAAGCGGCGAAGCGTGTCGGCATTTATACACTTGCCATCGAACATTCAAGCGTTATCGCTAGCGGTGACGTAGGTTGCAGAATAATTTGAAAGGTTCACGAAGTGAGCGTAATCTTAACAAAACAATCTACTACAGCCTCAAAGCTTCTCTAACACTATACGTGTGGTTTGCACTGAACATAGTATAATGGGAGGATAACAAAACTGAGGAAAGGAACGTGGCACTATCATATCAGGCTTTCCTTTAAGCGAAGGACAACTCTTGCGTAACTAAGATTCTTGTGCAATCACAATTTTTAAATTTTTTGCGTGTGATACGCTTTCCTTTTTAAATGATTCCGAGAAACCTAATTTTCAACAAAACCTTTTTTAAAAATAGTATTTCATATGTTTGTTACGAGAGCTAGATAGGTCACGTGATACGTAAAAAGGTAGGTCAGTTCATACTTGGTGATAATCTGCTTAAAAAGTTTTCTTAAAATCTGTTTCATTGTTATGTGCATTACAAGTCAAATAAATATGCACCGGTGCCACCACGTTGCTAAAAATTGTAATTTTAAGCTCCCAAGACAACATATTAAATGCCGCTAACTGCTCCAAAGCAAGGTTCTCCTGCTCCAAAATTGAAATTTTGCTGCTCCCAAAGCTGCTCCCAATTGAGTTTCAGCCATCTCACTCCTGAAAGAGTTAGTGGACCCTTTTGTGAAAATACATGCATCTGCGCAGCTACGTGCTTTGTTGATGCTGTCAGTGGTAATGAGATTTATCATGCTCGATTGCTTTGTAACGGGGTGGGGTGTTTGCTTGACCAACTCATTGCGTAGTTCAGAGGGTGTGACTCCTGGTGCGATTCTACATTTGTCACACAATATTACGTGTGCTCGCACAACTCCTTGTATTTCATCTTGTTTGTATAAGTTTATTCAGAATAATTTTCAAGCACTACCATGGCTCTGTGTTTGAGCACCTGTTTACTGCATTGGAGGCTTCGGTTTGATTCTGGCTTGAATTTGTAATTTTTATTACTTGCATACATTGCGGTTCATCATTGATTGAAAATGCCGATTCCTATTGCTCACAACCAAGATGTGAATCCCAAATGTGGGGCTGACGATGCAACAGGTGCTCTTCAATCCTATTTCTTTAATAGTTTGCATGGAAGTGGGTTCTTACCTAATAGCAATTTGTATCAAATAAAATTTTACACCAAAAACTGGCATACAGACTTGTGAGACAGCAAGACTGTGATAGGAAAAGAAATGCTTGGCTCATAAAATAATAGGAAAGTGATAGAAAAGCAACCAGTTACTTCTTAGCAATCTGTCAGTTACTTCTGTGATGCAGTAACTATAACCACTATAATGAATTACATTTTGGCTGACATAGTCTCGATTCCACCATATAGTACAAGCTTTCTCTTGAGCTACCATAGAACCATTTTCCTAATCTATTTTTTTAAGCACTCATGTCTTATGTGTACTAAAGCTAAATCTAAAACTGTTAGCTAGTACTACCATCACCATGCGTTCGTTGGTTATTGCAGTTGCCACATGGCATGTGGTTGAACATTCTAGGTGAAGATTATTGACTATCAAGCCTTTGTGGGCCCTATGACGGCATCAAAGCTGGCAGAGTGAGGATCATTGTCGTGCAATGAATGAGAAAAATGCAAACAAAAGGGGCTCGATCTTGTTTAATCATGATGAGCATAGAGTCAACAGCTGATTGGGCTTAAAAAAAAAAAATAGAAACATTGAAAGAAAAGGTTCTTGCCTATATAAATTGAGTACATCAACTACGGTGGATCAATGGCTATGGTGCACGGCTACTAACCCAAAGGTTGAGTGTTCGATCCCAACCGTGGCAGTGGCATTTCAATGGACGCAAAATGGTTGAGGCACACATATTCTGCGGTGTCAGTGCCTGTTAAAAAACACCAGATGGTTAAAATTTCCAGAGCCCTTCTCTACGTCTGTCATAATCATTGTTTGTTTGTTTATTAATACTGTCAACCCCAAGCTGGGGTATTTACAGGAGTGGAAAACACATACAATGAATAGCGTACACTTAAATGCTGATGTTTGAGCGAAAGAATAAATAAAAAGAATGGACATGAAATATGTTACAAAATAGAGACATACAGCGAACACAGGCATTTACAATAAAAGACAAAATTAAACACAGGCATGTACACTTACATTCTACGTATTGAAAACAAATGAACAAAGAAAGAGGCAATATACATTGACATCGTGAAGACAGGAATGAAAAAGTAATGAAGAAAATACTGTGACGCATCTGTTTCTGAAAAAAAAAAGTAATTTTTATTATTATATGATCGTTAAGTAAGAAATCCCCACATATTGTTATTATTATTATTATTATTATTATTAATATTATCATTATTATATTGTCAAGGGCTAAGTAGATGCCTAAGGATGACGACGACGAAGTGCTAAGGGGAACGTGCTCGGACTGCAGCAGCGTTGTACACATTTGCTCGCCAATATATTCATCGTGTATACTTTATTCCCCGTAATATCATTGGTGGAGGTGCGGGGTACAACTCGCCATACAGCCCCAGGAGCTGGATCTTCGCAGCGGACGGCGCATTGCAGCTACCACGATGACTGACCAGGCTACTCAATGCAACAAAATCCGTCAGCCCCGCAACCGATTGTAGTGGTGCAACCTTCTGACATTACACTTTTTCCGTATACTATAAATCCGGACAACTTTACAAGGATGCCGACTGCTTGTCCCGTTACCCAGTCGATCCCCCTGACATGATGGAAGATGGACAAGAGGCCCTCGTTTTTTCAATTACCGACTTCACCGACATAGCTGCTGAGCAATGCCGCGACCCCTCTGTGCGTGCTATCATCAATGGTCTGCACTCTCCCCACCCTGACCACTCCTTGCAACTGTTCGTTCTCCACAACGACATCTTGCACCGCTACAACGCCCACCCAGATGATGCTGAGCTTTTACTCGTTGTTCCTGCGCACCTTCGCTCAGAGGTTTTGACCCAGCTCCATGATGCCCCCTCCGCTGGACACCTAGGAGTGTCAAGCACGTATTACCGCGTTCGTCGCCAATTCTTTTGGCCTGGCCTCTACCGTTCTGTGCAACATTACGTTGTGGCATGCGACCTCTGCCAGCGCCGCAAGACACCTGCTCTAGGACGTGCTGGTACCCTTTAGCCCATTGAAGTACCAGATGAGCCATTTTTCCGAGTCGGCCTCGATTTTCTAGGACCTTTTCCCGTGTTGGCCACCGGTAATAAGTGGATTGCTATTGCTACCGACTACGCAACACGGTATGCCTTTACACGCGCCCTCTCCACCAGCTGCGCTACTGATGTAGCCGATTTCCTTCTTCATGACATCATTCTGTGTCATAGTGCTCCTCGTCAGTTGATCACCGACCGCGGCCACTGTTTTCTATCTAAAGTAGTCGACGAGCTCCTGCGATCCTGCTCTACCCACCACAAGTTCACTACAGCGTACCACCCACAAACCAACGGCCTCACGGAACGCCTCAACCGTACCCTGACGAATATGTTAGTGATGTATGTCTCCAAGGATCACAAAGATTGTGACATCCACTTACCTTTCGTTACCTTCGCATACAACAGTTCACGTCATGATACAGCTGGATTTTCACCTTTTTACCTACTGTTTGGTTATGACCCGCCTTTGCCCATGGACACCATGCTCCAATTTGACGCCCCCTCATCGACTGCTTATGCTCGTGATGCCCTGGCCCGAGCTGACATCGCCCGCCAAGTCGTCCGGGATCGTTTATGTGCCTCGCAGCTTAACCAAAAGAGTGCTTACGATCGCTGGCACCGCGACGTACAGTACTCCCCGGGGTCGCACGTCTTGTGTTGGTCTCTGCGAAAAACTGATGTCCCGTTACATTGGCCCCTACCGCGTCATACGCAAGGTCACCAGCATGACCTATGAGATAGCTCCACTCCATGTCACGTCAGTAACAGCTTCAGTCCCGACCGATATAGTGCACGTCTCACGGCTTAAACCATGCTACTCACGCCCTGAGAATTGATCGCACCGGGACAATGCTTCTGCCGCCAGCGGGTAATGTCACGGGCTAAGTAGATGCCTGAGGATGACGACGACGAAGTGCTGAGGGGAATGTGCTCGGACTGCAGCAGCATTGTACGCATTTGCTCGCCAGTATATTCATCGTGTATACTTTATTCCCCATAACAATATGATATAAGTATCCCCAAAAAGTGGTTGACGGTGCTCTGGTAGCTTGAATATCAGCATTGCACATAAAATGCTGTAACATGGTTTTGTGTCCTGATATGACCATTTGTTTTATTGCTCGTTTTAATTTCTTGTTTTGGCATTTAATTTTTTATTTACATCAAAAGTAGTTGATTTCTTTTGCGCTTTCCTTTGTTATCATGCATGCCGTTGAATTCATAGTGACTCAACTCAAGATTGAGCCCCACTCTCCGTAAAAAGCGATCTACATGACTAGCTTTAGTGAAAGAAACTCGGACACAAACTTTGGACATGAAATAATGTTTTTCAGCGTGGGCATGTTGTTCAATTTGTGTGGCTATTACTTTACTCAATACTAATGAATGAAGCAATTTTTTTCAGTGGTTGATATGTGTAGACGTCAAGGAAGAGCCAAATATCCCTCCAACCACGGATTCTCCTGTAAGTGATGAGCAGTTTGCTCTCTTGATTACTTCTCACTTAAAGCCAATAACAGGGCACTGTAAGCTGATGTCTCACATTACAAATATCGCTCACTTTCTATGTAAGTGATTCATGATTCAATCTATGTAAGTGATTCATGAAAATGAATCACTTACATAGATTGATGATTGACTTTGCCAGCTGTTTTGTGTCTAACAGCTTGTCAGGTGCAAGTATGCCCTCCCCATCCCTTTTAACTGCACGTTTTGTCATGCACTCATTAAATAGTGGGAACAGAGGGCCGCTTGCTAAACCTTTTTTATTATTAAACAGCCATTGACCAGGACTCTAACGATTCTGTACATAAAGCATGACAGCAGACAGAGTTCCACAAAGTTAAGCCCAAGGTTGTTGTTCCAGGGCCCTTCAATACCTTTTACTCGTCATAAAACTCCTGCTAAAGTTTTTGTAGGAACAGAAGTTGCCATTAATGGCGCCACCGTAAGCCGAAGGGCATAGATCTGCCGTGCTTGGTTGGGCATTCGCACATTTGTGGATGTTTTTTCCATCAAGTCCACTTCTGCAAATATTTTTTCTCTCTGCGTTTTTTCTATCAATTCATAACAGTGATTGCTATTTTGTCAAAATGATACACTATGCACGTCGTCAGATTGTCAAAGTGATTGATTGCAGGCAATGCTTTAACTGACAGTGTCTGTCGAGTGATGCGAGTGTTCGTACCATTCTTACATTTCATGATTCCTGCATAGTCGCTCCGGTGACTGGTTCTATATGACTGACAGGTTAACATATTTAGTGCTAGAGGTTGCGGAGTAGCCGAGCTCTGGCTGCATGTTATGCTACTTTTTGGACTAATTGTCGCTTTATTCTATTCTGCATCATGAAGCTGTAAATAGGAAATTATGTGCCAATAAACAAGCCTGTGTATCATGCTAACTTGGCGTTAATAACTTTGAAGTACCTCTTGAGGAGTATTGTTAGTGAAACATAGCCTGAAAATCAAAAGCACAGATTGAGATACCATAAAATGGAGAGAGATGCTCTTGTTCTTTTTCCTTTTTTTCCCTTTGGTGTTAAGGACTTGCTCCTTTGATTTTGATCTCCGGTGTTAAGGACTGCTTCTTTAAAAACTTGCTCCTGAAAAAAGCAGTCCAATCAAAAGCTCAACCAGAAGCTGGTCTTCGGACGGTGTGTGCTGCGAAACGCGAGTGGAGTTAGTTGTCGTCGAAAAGTTGCCTACCTCATTGTTGTGGAACGAAGGCTTGATCGATGTAGGTGGAGAAGCACCTTCCGTGTGGTCAGTTTCTTGTCGGAGCTGATGACCTGCGCCGCAAGACTGTAGGACACTGTCCCACAGTCCGTCATATGGGTCAGAGATTCAGGAGATATACCTGATGCGTCGTTTGAGGTCAGGTTGGAGAACATACTCTAGGACCTCAAAGGTAAATTCCTGGATCCATATGTTGTTCAACGCCAGGGCAGCTTCGAATTTCGACAACCAAGTGTCGACACAGGCAGCGCGAAACGAGGGCTTCGGCGGGTTGAACTGGGGCTGCCAGGCTTGGGCTGTTTGGAACATGACTGTTTGGAACTGTAGCTCGGTGGCAGCGACGAAGCGCTGGTCTCTGATTCTTGCATCCGAGGTCACCAATTGTTGTGGAAGGAGACGTGACGGCTGCTGAGAAGGCCGTGCCGTCATCTCGGTTTTCAGTTAGGACGCGGGCATGGAAGTGGTCACGCCCAAAATGGCTTTGGTCAATTATATTTCTGTAAATATGACTCAGGGTGACGTGCCAACTAGCGTTGTGATGTTTATTCTTTCTCTGCACGGTTGCCAGTAAAGCTTTAGACATCATAGATCATACTATAGTACGCATTTTTTTAATGCGCGCTCGCAATCGCAAATAAGGGACAAATCGTCCCAGCACAACTTGTAGCCCCTTCTTGTTCTCAGGAAACCTACCGCATGACACCGGTGTACTTGTACTATAGGGAAAGTGGCTTTAAGTGTGGCGTGGCAATGGAAACGGCATATTTTGTCACTTTGTTCTACTATTCATATTTTTTTAGCAATCCTCAAATGTTGTTTCATATTGTGGTGAAGTGTTAGTGCAAAATAAAGAGTAGAAGTCGAAAAAAAAAAAAACTTCACTATTATGCTGTCATAAAAAACTATAAGGAAAAATATAAGGGCTTCAGTAAATGCTAATGTTGAAGTGTCCCCTGGCTCAGTGCCGCTACTTTGATGACATTGTAAGAAGGAGGAATTAGGGCCCAAGATAGTCACTAACCTTTGATTTCACTTTGAAAAATAAAACTAGTCCAGTTGTACCAATTCCATTCTAAGTTCCTTTTTCTTAATCTTGAGCTCGATGTTTGAGCTCTGTTTAGATAGCTTTCATTTTTTTGTGCAGTTGCTGTTGTTCATCGCTGCATAGTTTCACAACAAGTGAAGAAAAAACTACTTTTTGTTGCACTTGTATTTTAAAACATTTGCGAGGTTTGTGAAGCTGTCCCTATTTGTCTACAGATTTGTCATACAGAATTTTAATATGATCTTTTTGTAAAAATTGTTAATGGGATAGAATGTACAGGACATTTCAAACATATTTTTTTGCTTATCTGTATATTCAAAAATAAACCAATAAATATACGGCATAGAATTTTAGCCCTTGAGTATACACCTGTATAAAGATCTTTCTAATTAATTAAATAATGCCGGTACTGCAGTGAGAATCTATGAAATTTTCGGGGCAAAGCTCCTTAGGCTGCGGATCGTTCCCTCCTCTGTATTTAATATGTCGCCACCTCTAAATTATGACTTGCTCAATAGATGGCGTTGTGTATATGTCCTTGGGAATAATATAACAAGATGGTGTTAGTGGTTTTCACAGCATATCCACGAGTGAATGATGATGAGCAGGGCGAACCACCCGTCTGTCAGTTCGTGCATCTATCCATCCGTCTGTCTGTTCGTTTGTGCTTCCGCCTGTTTTTCTGTCTATTCGTCCGTGCTTCCATCTGTCCGTCTGCCTGTCCATCCGTGCCTCTGTTTGTGCCTCTATTCGTCCATTTATCTGTGTGTCCATCCATCTATGCTGTCGTTCATTTGTGCTTCTGTCCGTGCATCTCTCCATGCGCCAGTCAGTTCGTCCGTGCCTCTGTCCGACCGTTCGGACAGAGGCACGGACGGATGGACACAGGCGGATAGACACAGGCAGATGCACAGGTGGATAGACACATAGTCAGATGAACGCTTTGCCCCACTCATCATCATTTACTCCATGGATATGCTGTAATTTTTTTTAGTTTGAAAACAACAGATAGCGTAAAAGCTGTTCTAGTTTTAATATCCCCTGCAAGTAGTTCCCTTGCAGCCTAGAGCTTTAGGGCCTCCTTTTGTATATTATTTCTGTGTATTATTTTTCTCGAATAAATAAAATCATTTCCTGTCAAATTCTGTCATTTTACTTCCATTAGCAACAAAAATATTTTTCATTGCCATGTCTCTCTTAAGGGGGCCGTGCAACAGCTTTCCAACTAACAATCAAATGGCTTCATTAAAGAAGTTATTGCCTCACAAATCAACAAGCCGAATAATTTTAGAATCCATCAAGGACAAGTGGAGTTCAAAATTTTCTGCACGCTGTAATTGCTTTCTATCATGTTTATTTCAATGCAAATGCTTGAATCTAAGCAGCGAAACAGGACACGGGAGAAAGAAGTTGCATCCCATGCATGTCATGACCTCGAGGACTTAGAATTTTTTTTTTCGAATGTGCGGCTTACTTTCAGGGTGATTACAAGGGGGGAATGGGGCAATATTTTATGGCGGCCGCTGAAATGATGTAGCTGGCGGTGCTCCAATCAGTCAATGGTCGTGAATTTAGGCATATGGTGCGGTCATTGGATATATGGCATCATTTGTAAAAAAAAAGAGGGAAGGATTCTTTGCTGACTAAAAATTTATTGCAAATTCCAGGTGACGTGCTGCATTAATGTATTTACTCGCATAATAGGCTCACTTTTTTTTTTTCAAAGAATCCGGCTCAAAATTAGGGGTGCACCAATTACGCGGGGTGAAAATTTCGAAAATTCATCAACCCGGTTCTCGCTCTCTAAATCTCCACATTTGTAAAGTAAAAGGTGACTTTATCATTTACCAATTAATTCAGCATAAAACAAACATACCTATGTACTTTTTAATGAACAAGCGAGAGTCATCAACTGCACACACGAATGTAAAATTTATTTACACAAAAGTCGTAGGTGTTCTGCCTTTTCCCTATTCGAAGTCTGAGTTGGAGAGCACACATTCATCTTCGCTGAGTGAAATTTGTTTTCGGTGTCCGAATCATTCGCACCCCACAACAAGTCATCCTCACTCGCATCCAGTGCATTCGAGATACCCTTCTTCTTGAAGCTTTTCCTTACGACTTCGTCGGAGATCGCCTGCCAACCTTTAATGATCTAAGCGCGCGGCATTTCCACAGGTGGCCTCTTACCACCTGGAGTCAGCCGATGTTGTCCTCCAGCCATCCAGGTGGTGTACAGTCATCGAACATTGTCCTTGAAAGGCTTATTCAAGGACAAGTCGAAAGGCTGCAGTATCGATGTGAGTCCGCCAGAAATCACTGCCAGATCTCTGCGCAGTTTCTTTAGCTAATCTCGTACACAGTCAACTACGTGCCCATTAAAACTGTCCAGGAAAAGCATGGACGGGAACAACAGACCACCCGGCCGCCGATCCCAGACGGTTTTCACCCAATCCACCATGAGTGCTGTGCTCATCTAGCCTTTTTCCTGGACTCTGACGTAGATGCCCTGAAGGAAATTTGTCTTTGGGAGCATCTTACATTTAAAATGTAAGGCGGTAGCTTGCATACAACTGCTGTCACCACCAGCGCTATGGGGCATCGTTGTTTATCAGCGCCAGACGTTCTGACAATGACGCTCCGTGCACTTTTCTTCTCCACTGTCGTGTTTCAGGGCATATCAAAGCAAAGAGGCGTCTAATCAGCATTGCCGATCTCGTCCACCACTTTGTCCTCGTATATTGGGGCAAGCGCTCGCACAAGGTAGTCTGCCTTTGCAATGTGAGGCCATGGCGCTGCATGAAACGAGTTGTCCATCCAGAGCTGGCTTTGAACTTTTTTGCTTTGATGCGCTGCGCTCGGGTTATTCTGTGGGCCTCAGTCTGCGGGCCTCAGTCTGCACAATATTCAATGACACAGCACAGCCGTCTTGTCGTAGCTCCTGTATATCCCAGACCAATTGCTCTTCGACGTTCGGATACCTGCCGGTCTTAGCACCGCGAAAGCCGGTCGTGTCTTCTTCGTCGCCTCAAGTTTTTCTTCTTGATCTCTCCAGTACAGAGTACTGGTTTCTCTAACACCGAAATGCCTGCTTGCAGCCCGGTTGCCGTGCTTCAGCGCGTACTGCACTGCCTTCAGTTTAAATCTGGCCGTGTAGCTGGCGTATTTCCCCATGGTGGAACCAATGTTGAATACACTACCACAACATATGCACACCACTTGCAAAATGGCGTTTCTTTCTTTTTCTCTGATGGTGGTGATGGCGATCGAGCCCCCGGCATTGTACACATGACCTCCAAGGAGCGCGGCAATTTGGGGGGTATCAGTAATTGAAGGAACAGTTGTTTCTTTTTTTGCTCATGGACGCTTTTTTTTCTCAAGTTTTATTTCGACAAACACGTTTGTTAGTTTGTTGCACTTCAAATTATTTTATTTGCTTGTCGATTTGCCTTATTTTTTACCTCAGGGTATAGGGACTACGTTCCAACTGTACCACTGGGGGGTTGAATCGTTTCTGATCACGGTCAAGTTCGGGGTGCGCCTATTATGCACGAAATTAAAGAAAACGAATTTTCCGTGGACAAACTGGTGTGCCTATGCGAGTGTGCTGATTATGTGAGTAAATATAGTGTAATGTTTTGCTCGCATGTTCCTGGGAGCCTCAATTACGAAACAGCAGTATTTTCTGACAATGCTGGAAAAGTGTGGCAGGGCCTTTTTAAGAAGTGTTCCGCATGCAGTAAGCAAGACTAGACAACCGCGTTTTTTTTTCTTGTTTTTTTCTCGGTCAGCATGCGATGGGCGACTGCACATGGCCTTGCTCGTTTCGCTATTTTGTTGGCAGGCTATCAGGATTGTTTGTGACTGTTAGTAACATAGCAGCCTGGATGTTGAGCTAAAAGCAGCAAAGGCTGCCTCGACATTCAAAAACTTGTATTAACTGAGTTTGTGCTTTGGGAAAATTTGATTAAGATGGCCTTAAAATGCATTCAATACTTTGCCTGTGAAACAAAATTTATCATTTGTTTGGGTTGACTGAAAGTTTCTAGAACGAGAGCTTGAATCATTGAGAGTGTGCCGTTTGTTTAGCAGAGACGCCATACTTTCTGTTATGCAGGCTGTAGTTGTAACTGTTGCGGGATCTGTGATCATGTGCCTTGCAGGGTGCCTGCCATGTATGAATGGAAAAGAAATCAATTGACAATAATTTCTGTTATAGAAAAGTTCTCTACAAGCATGCGTTAATAAAAAAAAGGAGGTCGCTGCATAGTGACCACAAACTTTGCGTGAAGTCGATGCACTATTTCGTTAAGTATCTCTTATTGAAAGCATACCGGTCTTTTCCAATTTACTTTCTCTCAATTCTTTCTCAGTTAATAAACTAAAAAAATTTTTTTTCAGGACGTGAGTGCTGACATTAAAGTGGAATGGACTAGCCCTCAAACTTTGCCAGCTTTCGTGAGTCAAGCATTTTTACAACTTTGTTCTTGTTACTCAGATAGTTGTGTAATATACTATTAGACGTTTTCAACAGGAACGCAATGTGACGTATCCTGAACTTTGAGCTAAAAACGTGGGCAAGTAAAATTGACCCTCCAGTTTAAGGGTGAAAAGGCCACGGTTAGACCCAGCAATGAAATTTCTTATCAAAAAAGACTCAATTAGACTATTTAGACTCATGTAGGGACCTAGTGCCTTTGTGTTGGGTTTTTGAATATTGTTTCTTAGCTTACATGGGTTTTGTACATTTTTTTAAGAGTGCCATGCTTGTGCTTATTAAAGGTGTTGTGTTGTTAATAGAGTCTTGTCTCAGTTCATTATCTTCAACCCTCTGAATACGTGACAATTGGTGAACCTCACATATATGAAAATATGCCAGAAAAGGGATAGGACTCTTTGAGACAATTCAATATTTAGTGAGTGAAGAGTGTAAGATTGTTGTGTGCTTATTGTTACCCATCTTTTTTTGTATATTTGTGTATTTTCTAGCGTGCTGTGCTTTTCTTACACAAATGTTTTCTTTTGACACCCTGAGTCTTCACTGAGTCCATTGCACGTGACCGCTCATAATTCGTGACAGTAGTACCAAACATAAGGCTAGTGTACGCACCCATTGGCTTAAGCCATCGAGTTTGCATGCATTGCAACTGCAAATGAAACAGGAAAAAGACAGTGTATAAATACTACTTGTATAGTTTATAATGAATGCTTTGTGTCATCTACCCACATCTTTGCATGGTAGCAGATATACATTTTTTTCTGCTCAATACCTGCAGCTGTTTCAGCCATTGAAATTGAAAACAAGCAAGGAAACGTTAAGGAAATTTGTATGACAGGCATTGCCATGTCATCAGATAAGAAGGCGCCGATGGAATCGGTGCTGTAAAAGGTCCATACTGTAAGACCAGATAAATGGAGCAATCATAATACTCTTTATTAGTTGTATGTAAACAGAGTGTTAACAAAGACTACATTTATTTTTATTGCACATATTAATGTCAAACTTCAATGAATATTAAGACTATTTCTTTCAATCTGTTTTATTCAATACATAAGATTCTTTCCCAGTCCAGCCAAGAAAGTTTTTAAAATATCTTTTTTAGGACTTGAATGTTGACATCAGGATAGAGCCAAGTGGCCCTACAGCTACACCACCTCCAGTAAGTGGAGCACATTTTTTTTTTCAATTTGATATCTCTAATTCTTAGGGAATAACAAGACCAACTTACTTTAATACCCCCAGGATCAAATGGCATTGAAGATTGAAGAAGAAAGTGGATAAAATGCATGAAGTATGCAGAATGAAACAGTGCAGTGAATTCACTACCCACAACATTTCTCCAGACTATGCAAACAATAGTAGTTAATTCATGAAAATAAAATAAACAAATGGGACCAATGAGTACAGATAAAATATTTTCCTGGTTATGCGATGTCAGCTAATGTTTCGTGAGAAAGTTTACAACCAGTGATGATTGTGATGGTTAAAGGAAGGTGTTTCCAATCCTGAGATGCACGGCGAATGAACAGCTGAAAGAAAGACTCAGTGTGACATGATGCTATCCTGACCTTATTACAATGATCAACACGGTTTCAAAATGTATAGAGGCTGGAGTTTGAGGTCTTTATTAGGTGTTAGATATGGTGAAAAATTTTATGAAATAGTGGTTGATGGGCCATTTTGCTTTGGTAACAAACAGAAATTGTAATAGATTAGTGTTCATTGAGGTTATACTGACAGTGCTGATTGTAGTTAAGATGAACCTAGCAGCATACCTGCCAAGTCTCCCGAATCTCAGTAATGTGAAACCGCGGCAGATACGAATTCCTAAATTCCCCAGCCAAATTTTACAATGTTCATTGGGCCTCAATTGAAACGTTTCGAACACATTTCCTAATCGCAGTGGGTGGTACGAACTTTAGTACGGAAACCATCGAACGAAGGCCGAGAGCAGCGTACTCAAAGCTTCGGAAGTACGTGTGCGACCGGTGCACTACAGTGCTTGTGATTGTCGTTTCCACAACCGCTGCGGACAAAACCGCGGTCGCTCTTGACACGATCATGTATGACGACGACGTAACTGAGAGAACCCCTAAAGTGTGCACTCAACCAGTCAAAGCAATGCTGTTTTCTGCAAACTCTGCGGACAAACCTGCGGCAGATGCTATCGTAGATGGCATAAAACGACTTAGTTTTGAAGGCGGATGCGCAGCCAAGCGCATGGGGATTGTAAAATGAACTACCATTTGCCACAACCGCCGTGCACAAAACCGCGGTCGCGGCGACACGATAGCGATCTACGAGCTCCGAGGGCACGCAGCGGTAGGTTAAAGGCAGTATATACGTAAAAATAAAAAAAGTTACAGCTTCCCCACTAGGGCGAAGTAATAACTGCGACAGCAACAACTTGGAATTTAACCCTGAGAATGGCAAGCAGATCAAAACATGCAGTGCGCTGCTCACACACAAATGATGCACGAAAATGATACTCGCAGGACGATAGCGAACTAACAACGTTTACCGCTCGGCACGTAACACCCTGTTCAATCAAAAATTATGCACGATACATATTCACAGGTACAGATGAGTACAAACCAATAAGTGTCTCAGTTGTTATACCTCGCTGTGTATGAAAAGCGCGCTGTTTTCACAAAAGGGGCCTGTGGAGCGACCGAAGTGACCTTTGTGGGCCCGGCAACTAACGTTTTCATTTCAGTGAAAGCGGAAGGCACACGATTCCTCCACCAAAGGATAAGTATGCGCGCACAGGCATCCGTTCATGGGCAAAGTACATGTGAGAGATAAGCACGCATCGGCGCATCGCGACGAATTCGGCGCAGAGTGCGGGCGGCTTTCTTTTTTTAGTGTTCATATATATAGATACGTATACATATTGACGCCCGTATGTGCCAGTGGCGGTGACAATGAAGCAGCGCGAGTGTCCTTGGCCGAGAGCAGAGATGAAGAAGACGTTGCAGTCTTTGTCCTGTGATCGATAAAGCGTATTTTTTCGAGGTTCTTTGTGTGCTCGTCAATCCCACGTCGTCACACTGGTGAAGGTGCTGGGCAGTCTTCATGCTTGGCACCCTTTCGCGGACCCGACATTCGAGCCCGGAATCGCTACCGCACTTCGACACACCAGTCCACCGATTCAGTCGCCGTCTGCTAGGCCTGGCTCCTGAGCTCAATCCCTTGCGAGAAACCGCCAGCAATCGCTCCTTCAACCACCATGGCCACTGCAGCTCCAGTGCACATGACACTACAGAATCCCATGATTCCAGATTGTTTTCATGGTGAGACTTATGAAGACGCCCAAGACTGGCTGGACCAGTTCGAACGCAGTGCGAAGTACGACCAGTGGGCCACCCTAGAAGACAAGCTCGCGAATGTGTACTTTTACCTGAAGGACAACGCCCAGACGTGGTACATCAACAGGGAAAGAAGCTTGGCTACGTGGGACGACTTCCGCAACCAGCTGGTCGACACATTTACCAGTCTCGACAGAAAGGAAAATGCGCAACGCCTTTTGGAAGTTCGATTTCAAAAAACAAATGAGAGCGTTGCTATGTTCGCCGAGGACATGACCCGTCTTTTCGGCAGGGCAGATCCCGAGATGCCAGAAGACAGGAAGTTGTGATATTTAAAGCGAGGCGTGAAGGAGCAACTGTTTGCTGGGCTTGTGAGAAATCCACCAACCACAGTAGCTGAGTTCACAAAAGAAGCCACAGGTATTGAACGGGCCTTACAGCAACGGTACCGCCTGCAGAACCCGGTCAACTTTCGAATGAGTAGTCCTGTTACGGCTACGGCAAGCCTCTCCGACAATGACAGGCTTCTGCGGGAAATCATGCGGGAAATTTTGAGGGCAGGAGCTTCGGCAGCTTTGTTTAATTCCAGTAACCGAACCGATGCCGGCACTGTCTTTTGTCGCTGATGTTGTCCGGGATGAGGTCTGTCAGGCTCTCTCTTCATGCGGCTATGGTGATGTGCGACGGCATCTTACTTATGCTGATGCAGTCCGACGTTCCGTCGTTGTGCCTTCGGCACAGCGAACACCAATGACTGGACCACCACCTAACCCTGCAAACACAGCCACTCTCAGCACCGACCACTTTCGCAATCTCAACTGATTCCTCCGACAAGACGAATGCCGTATAGCCAACATGCCCCACAACGTGGCCCAATAGTGAGTCTCCACTTGCCTACCAGCGCCAGAAAACCGATTTGTGGCGTACCACTGACCGGTCGAACGGTATGGTTTCATTGTGGCAAAGCTGGGCACTTCTACAGAGTTTGCCGTTATAGCGACGCTCAGTACTCGAGATTTCCTCGCTACCCTGATTATATTGCGTACGACTGATCGACGCATGTACAACGACGCTCCTGTGAACACGCCGCCGCAGAATCCAGTAATGCCCAGATCACGTTCTCCATTTCCTGCGCGGCCCAGTTCACCTAATCGTCGCAGTTTTGCCGACGTCACCAGGAGCAGGTCCCCTAGCCCGCGACGAGGAAACTAGACGCAGCGACCTCGGGGGGTGGGGTTGCCAATAATCGAAATTCCAAACAGCCCTCATTGCAGACAAATGACAGCTCGAAGCCATCGATACCGAAGAAGATGACAGCAACGACTAATTCGACGGCGGCGTGTTCCTGTGAACACGCCGCCGCAGAATCCAGTAATGCCCAGATCACGTTCTCCATCTCCTGCGCGGCCCAGTTCACCTAATCGTCGCAGTTTTGCCGACGTCACCAGGGGCAGGTCCCCTAGCCCGCGACGGGGAAACTAGACGCAGCGACCTTGGGGGGTGGGGTTGCCAATAATCGAAATTCCGAACAGCCCTCATTGCAGACAAATGACAGCTCGAAGCCATCGATACCGAAGAAGATGACAGCAACGACTAATTCGACGAATGAGACAACTTGCCGACGTAACCGACATTATCAGTGCTGACCTTGTCGTTCACATTGATGGCCACCAATTGACGGCTCTTATGGACACTGGCTCCCACTTTTCTATAATAAGCCTACAGCTAGCCGAAAGACTAAGGAAGGTGAAAATGCCATGGCATGGACCCAATATAAGAACCGCAGAAGGTCAGTTGATGACACCGGTTGGAAAGTGCATGGCCCGAATTTTCATCGCTGGTTCCGCCTTTGTCGCCACCCTCGTCATTCTTCACGGGTGCTGTAAACAGCTCATATTGGGAATGGATTTCTTGCACGAATACGGGGCTGTGATCGACCTCCTGCGACAGAAGCGTAACGTTCGCTATAAGCTCGCACACTGCTACTGATGAAAAACACCAGCCACCTCGTTTCCGTATTGCTGATGACGACGTCATACATCCGCCACGAAGTTGCTCCCTCGTATCCATGCACTGCGACATCTTACAAAACGGCACTGGCATTGCTGAAAACATCAAGGGGCTCGTATTCACTAGCGGCATTTCTATTGCCAGGGCTGTCGTCACTGTTATTCACGGATGCACTGAACTCTTGTTGACAAATTTCAGCAGAGAACGCCGACACATAGTTAAAGGCACGCTTATTGCCTACTTCGACTGAACTCGCTCAAGTAGAAGATTGTCATTTAGTGGAGGAAGCAGCAGCGTCTACTATCACTACACTGACATATGTCGACGATAGTCCAACGTTATCTCCCTTTGAGCGAGACCGCCTTCTCACGCTGATCAACAAGTTCCATGGCTGCTTCTCATCCACATCAAGAATTCGTCAAATGGCCCCTAACGAAACACCGCATCATCACGGATTCCGACGCCAGACCGATCCGGCAAAATCCTTATCACATCGCCCCGAAAGAGTGTGAAGCAATTCAAACACAGGTGAAAACGATGCTGGACGATGGTATTATTTGGCCATCTAATACAGTCCTTGGGCATCACCAGTAGTACTCGTCAAAAAAAAGGACGGCAGCTTGCGTTTCTGCGTCGACTATTAGAAGCTAAATCAGATCACAAAGAAAGACGTCTATCCTCTGCCGCGTATTGATGATTCATTGGATAGACTACGAAATGCACGCTACTTTTCGTTCATGGACTTGAAAAGCGGCTACTGGCAAATTGAAGTTGATAAGAGAGATCGCGAAAAGACCGCCTTTGTTACGTCCGATGGACTTTATGAATTTCAGGTTCTTCC